ATGCTCTCATCGAAACTAGAACCCTGTAGAGTTCGCCTAAAACTCTCAAATTTAATGAAATATTCGTAAATACTCGACACTATCTAGGAAGTCAGCGAAAGATGTACGGATGACAAAAAATAATCGATCATTTATAATCCCAGCGTAAATTCAAACTGATTAGTGTTACCTAGAAGAATATTAGAATATGAATTCAGGCAAAATACTAATGATATTTTTCAAATGTTTTTTAGTAAACTGTAGAAGGAATGCACTACTGTACTTTGTTTGTAGGCATTTTGTATGAGTACATACACAATCAATTCGTTTTGTTGAAATCACGAACTGAACTCAGCTAGATCATCATTAGAATCCTCGGAACTATAGACGAATATTCTGTCCTAGCATGAGACTCATCAGAAGTAAATATCCACGATCCCACATTCAGCAGGCAAACTCATGAACTTTGGTCTCCTATACGAATGCTTAACCCCTAGAACACTGAGCCCATCAAGGATAGTGAAAGATGATTGTTCAATGTTGTAGATTGATTGAAGTTAGACTTGTATGGCACTGGATGTCGTAATATAAGTGATAATAATAATCATTGTTATTATTACAGTGTCAATCATCATCTTCACGTTAATTAAACAAAATACATGTAAGGTCATGCCTATATAAGGAAGCATACATACGAATACGTGGAATAAAGATATTTAAAATGTGTTTTAAAATTGATCTTAGAAGATGGAATGGGTGAGATGTTTCTGCAAATGCAGACACATCTAGTGAGTGAATATTTTCGAGTTATAAAATAAAAATCACTAACAATGATCGTTATTAAAATTATTTCACTTTACAGAGACTATTGTTATTAAGTATTTTCTGACTAGTCCCATGTTTACAGAAAAAAAGTTGGATAAACTATTCTTTGATCTGGCATTAATAATTATTATTTCATTGAAATTATGAATTGATCTGAGCTAGATCATTATTAGAAATCTGGAAGCATTAAATAACCGTTTCGTCCCAGTAAGGGACTCATCAGAAGTGTATATCCACGATCCTGCATGTAGCAGTGCTTAACCTTTAGTTGACTGTGTCGACATCCAATGACATAAATGTCTAACTCATATCAATGCACGACATTGCACAATCATCTTTCACGGTCTTTGATGGGTTCAGTGGTCTAGAGGTTAAGCATTCACATACGAGACCAAAAGTCCTGAGTTCGCCTCTTAAATGCGGGATCACGGAAATGCATTTCTGGCGAGTCCCATGCTATGGTAAAACGGCTCTCTATAGCTCCCAGGATTCTAATGGTGATCGAGCTGAGATCAGTTCGTCATTTCAACAAAACAAATTGATTGTGTATGCAATCATACAAAATACCTACAAACAAAGTATAGTAGTGCATTCCTTCTACAGTTTACTAAAAAACTTTTGAAAAATATCATTAGTATTTTGCCTGAATTCATATTCTAATATTCTTCTAGGTAACACTAATCAGTTATAATTAATGCGGGCATTATGGATTAGAACTGATTGATTATTTTTTGGTCATTCGTACATCTTTTGCCGATTGCCTAAATATTGTCAAGTATATACGAATATGTTAGTAAATTCGAGAGTTTAAGGCGAACTCTACAGGGTTCTAGTTTCGATGAGAGCATGCACACTGACACCGGAATTCAAGTGAATATTAGACGATGATTCGTAAATGAGATAAAACGCACATTGTGAATCCAACAATTTAACTTCAGTTTTTAAAGAAATATCCTTTCATAGACACTAAGATTATCAATAGTCGTAATATTAGTGATAATAATAATTATTATTATTATTATTATTACTATTATAGTGGCAATCATCATGTTCGCATTAATTAAAAAAAAACACATGTAAGGTCACGCATCATTTTATACTCATAAAATCATGAACTCATATTTTACTCATTTCTGATTGGTTCATAATTGAATCTATTTAAAAATATTGACTATCCATATGTCTATCTATCTATCTGTCTATCTATCTATCGAAACGTTTTGAATTAGGCTTTGCATCAAATTGGTGTTTAATTAAATATTATAGAGCTGCTAGCTGTTGCATTCCATGTATTATAGGTTGAACAGAAACGTAATTATTATTATTAATAATAATAATAATAATAATATTAACAAACAAAACACTACATATAGTCGTTTATAGACACATCTGGATATTAATGAGAAAAGGTGTGTAGATTCATTGCACATCATTCAAGATGATGATGATGATGATGATGATACCTATTACGTGGTATAAACAAATTTAAATTATTTCACTATTTCATTATTGACGTCATTGAAGATTGTGAATACATATGCATGGAATTTGTTTTGATTAATTATTAGTAAGAGCAAACTATCACTAGATACTTGAAGAAACTTGTTCAATTATTCAATAGTGCTAAAAATGGAGAGGTTACAACAATTATTAAAACAACAATCATTGACACAACAACATCAACAACAACCACAACAAATGTTAAATCACTCGCCTAATTCTCAAAATTTTCAAAGTCTTCAAAATTCACATGAAGATCTTGTTAATGGTGGAGGCGATGACGAAGATGATACGTCATTACAAGAATTTTCAAGACCTAATGATAATCACAGACAACAACAACACCAACAACAGCCACAACAATCACGTCAATCCGTACCTCATATAACACTTCCACAACCACAACAACAGATTCAACAAAAAACAATTCATTTACCACAACAAACACCTCCACCTATGTATCAGTCAACTTTTTCTCCACTAGAACAACAACAACCAAGCCGATCAGAGTTTTCACTTCGTCATCAGTCACAAACACAACAGCAACAAGCATCAGAAGAACAATCATTGTCATCATCGTTACAACATACTCAGCAACAGCCACAACAAGAACAAATGACCAGTCATTTATTCAATCGAAAATTTCGTCAATCATGGCGTAACATCACACCAGATAAATTACCAATAAAAGAATTGAAAAAAGCAACTAAATTACAAGAGAATGACATCAGTTCACAAGGTGATGATTATGAAGAAGATGAGGTGAGTATCCATGGTTGTATGTATATATACATATGTACACGTATATATCTAAATGTCATTTCGAGGTGTTTACTTACTACGTTTTTTGTTTGTTGTTGTTGCTGTTAGTAACGAACGAGTTGTTCGTTGTGTTATTGAATGAAATCTCACTTTATTCCTATATATTTATTGAATAACACAGTTAATCTATCAAAAGAAAATGTTTAACTCGTATCAGTGTTTTATTAAAAAATTATGCTGGATTTTTGAATGAAATAATTTTTCGGGCAGAGTTTTGGAGGTTTCGTGTTTTCACACCTATTGAAATCATCAATCAATCATTGTTAGACCACCGTTAGAAACCTAGAAGCATTGAAAGACGGCCGTTTCGTCCTGGTATGGGACTCATCAGCAGTGCGCATTCACGGCTCCTGCCCCCACAGGATACGAACCAGGGACCTTCGGTCTTGTGCGCGAACGCCTAACCATCGGACGCATACCAGGACGAAACGGCCGTCTAGTGCTTCCAGGTTTCTAATGGTGGTCTAACAATGATTGATTGATGATTTCAAATATTGTGAAATAATTTTTTCTTTCAATCACTATTCATATCATGAAAGTAAGTTGAATGGAAAGAAATTTGCGCAACACTAGAGAAAATTGAAATAAAGTTAGATAGAGAGAAGAAAAATTGTCGTCGCATTGTAAACAATTTGTTTTGTCTAAAAGAAATAATATTTTCAAATTCCATTGAGGGAAGCTTTAAAATATTAGACTAATACTAAACCGTACTCATGTATAGGCTACCTGGTTGAGGTCCGCGAGACTAAAGTCACCAATGGTTATAGACCTTGAACGACATGGCTCAAAACCGTTTGCAATGGCGCAAGTGAATCGATTCGTTGTGCTTTCTCAAATCCTAATCTTCTGGATTCGTCAGCACGTCTACCTTTGTCTTTATAACCTTATTTCACTGAATTATACTTCTTGAATAATATCTTCGAACCCTAGTCTTCTTCATTACCATTAAGACCTCTACTATCTCTATCACTATGGGATTTGATTTGACATTTGCGTCTCTGTGCTAATATGGTATGACAACCTGAACTTATGTACATACGTACGATGTTCTACGTTGCAACTGACTGACTGACTAACTGACGTACTCATGTGAATATTTAGCTAATCGTAGAATTCTTGGTAGATGTTTTGTTCAATTTGAAATTCATCAGTCGGATGGATGTTGATGTTTTTTTCTAAATAACTCGTTAGTGATTGAAGTGAAAATGACTAGGTTCAAATATTATTGTGTTTATCAAGCTTGAAATGTGGTTAAGATCAGATGATGGTCCCTTAATACAAGGAACTAGGTTTCCTGAATTCCACTGCTAGCAGCAGTGTACTAAATATATGATAGCCTATAACCAAAGGCTACACCAAGACAATCCGCTCAGGATGGAAATACAACAATCAAGTCCTCAATATCAACAAGGTAAAACTAGAAAACTCCCTCTACGAGGTTACTATCATTTGAATTTGAAGAGAGATAATATACTCTCTCTATATATTTACAATCTTTTTATCTCACTATAAGTGGTTTGCTCTCTCTTACACAAATCATATGACTGTAAAGTACAACAAAGTGTATTGTTTCTGAAATTAATAGAAAAAAACTATATAATCAGATTTCTCACTTTCTTTCATCGAACAATTAAATAAATATCACCTAGAAAAGTAATTAAATTTAAATTAAATAAAACTAATATTGATAATCTTACATAAAAAAAGTTGTTTTATTTTCTATGTTCAATCGTCAATAAAAAAAAATGGATTTAGTAGTACATTTGTACAATGATTTAAATGAATAACTTATTTGATTATAAATCTTTGTGGGATATATTTATTATCAAATTAACTGGCTAAGCACAACACTCTAAATATATATCTAAGAGTAAATTGTTGAAGTCTTAACAAAGTACATGATCATCTCATCGTGATAAGCATGAATGACATTTCTATTCAGTTATTTAAGTCAACAAGATCAATAGAATCAGATACATACTGACTATCAAACATTTGAAACTCACGCCTTTTAAGTGTTAAATTTTCCATGTGGTGGCTGTTAAGTGTTGGTTGGAGAAAGCTGGTGGGCGGCCTATGCTCCATTGGGGGTAACCGGTGTAAGTAAATAAGTAAAGTAAGGCTGTTAAGTGATAACACTGAATGGTGTTTATATCAGCTTATAAGGTGATTGAAATTTAGAATGGACAAAGTGCATGTTTCCCCCCTTTTTATTGTTCGACTGTATTATGTATGCATTGAAACTGGGATTCTTAAGGTTCAGCCTTGTTTTAACTCTAAAATTAAAACAGTGCATTTATTCAGTCAGTCAGTCGGTCGGTCAGATGCAACGTAGAACTTCGTACGTAAGTACATCAGTCATCATGTTGCCATACCACATCAGCACAGAGATATAATTGTCAATTCAAATCCAATAGTAGAAGAGGTAGTAAGGGTATTAGAAGTAATTGGAGAGGTTAGGATTAGAAGATATTATTCAAGAAGTATGATTTGATGAGAAAAGTTTAGAAAGACAAAACTAGATGTGTTGAAGAATCCAGAAGATTAGGATTTGAGAGAACACAGAGCCATTTTCATTCAGTGTCTAACCATCGATTATTATCATCTCGCGGACCCCAACCAAGTAGTCGACAATTACCGATATGGCTAAGTCCACTCGTCAATGATTTCATGGATTATTGCCACGTTTTAGTTTGGCCGCATTTATTCAGTGTTCTCTAAATTGAAATAGTAAAACAAACTTTGTCAGGACATAATTCGTGAGGTATTTTTAAATCAAATAGTTCACAGAATATATCTATATGATTCACAGCAAAATCTTTACATCTAGAAGATATCAACAGAATTATTGAGAAGTGACTTCAAATTGGAATGAATCTTTTATCAAAGATATCAGACTTGTTTTAGTTATTAAGTAACAAACAATAAGAAAGGTGAATAAGATTAATGAGTAATTATGTATTCAAAATATATGAGGATTAAACTTTTTTTTCTTGAGTTTTATTCAAGTGTTTTAAAGTATTCTACATAATATTCTAGAGTAAAGAGAGAAGTTTATTTAAAAATCTGTGTATTTCATACTTTCACACTACAATAATATTTAAAACTAAATGGAACTACAGCAAAATTACTGATTACTTTTCCAAGTTATTGATTTTTCTGTGTAGTAATGGCTGACTAATCCTCAAGATCACTTTAAAATAGGGAATGTTTGAGTGCATGGTACGCATGTTATCATGTAATTCATCGGACCAACGGTTAAATCAGGTCTTCTCTTTTAATAATGATAAAATTCCATATCTATCAGAATTAATCATACAAAGTTGACTACACTGATCAACCAATTTTTTATTTAACTAAGATAGACGTATTTTGATGAACGGATTACAACAATTTAGTATGATGACTGAAAGTTATAAAAAACGTAGTTGCATTATGACAGTATTCGTTTAAAGGTTTTAATTTGTCAATATACATAACATATTCATTTAAATGATTTTGCTTACCTCAAGACGATTTCAATAACGTAAGAAATTATTCATTAACTTAAAATAATGAAATTAGTTAATTAACCAAATTCATTCCTAGTTTGAAAGAACTTTAAATATATTTACACACTGAAATCATCAATCAGTCACTCAGTCAGTGTTAGACCACCATCAGAAACCTAGAAGCACTGGATGGCCGTTTCGTCCTGGTTTGGGACTCATCAGCAATGCGCATTCATGACTCCTGCACCTTGCAGGATTCGAGCCCAGGACATTCGGTCTTCTACGCGAACGCCTAACTTTTATGTTTCTGTACTTGATGTAACGCCAAACCACTGTACTAATGAGACCCGAACGTTAGACCTCTCCGTTCAAAAATAAGAAGACGGAAGACGTTGGAGAACACTTCTTATCAGAATCAAAAATGTACAATCAAACATGCGTATTTATACAATTATATAAATGTCGTTAAATATTTTGAACATGAGTCGAATAGTTCATCATGAACATCAATCACATAGTTCATCATTAATCAAATAGTTTATCATGAACATTAATCAAATAGTTCATCATGAGCATTAATCAAATAGTTCATCAATCCACAATGTGCGTGGCTTTCTTCTCGATTGGCTATTCCAACACAAACCTCTAGACCACTGAGCCGGCGTCCAAAGGTGTTAATGTCTAACGTTGCTTAGTCTAGAGATTTTGCGCGACCTCACCCATTTGTCTTCGATAGTTACCTCCCAAATGTGACAGGGTTGAACTCCACTGGTCACGTCTTCTCACTAAAACTCCAAAAAATTCCTTCACAAAGCTAGTCACTAGTGAGCACATTTTGATTTCACTGTGTAAAAACACTAATCTTCATAACTCCATGACAGTTAGGTCATGGATATGCACTGATAAGAAGTTTCATACTAGAACAAAACTGTTATTTGATGTTTTGTTTAAATTTTCAACGGTTATTTCACCTAGATTAATCTACATTCCATCATAAATATCAATTGCTTAGATTTCTTTATTACAAGAAATCCTAATTCTGGCTGAAATATACATACTGAATGATATTCAATTCAGTACTTGCCAGGATCATTATGATCTCTCGGTTGTAGTTAACTTTTAACAACAATAACAAAACACGATTACCATTGCGTTACTTGTCATTAAAGAATGATTTTGCATGATAACAGAATAGATTTCTTTCTATTTCAAAAATAAGGAGCCTTTTTTTAAAATAGAGATTATTAGTATCATTTATAATGAAGTATGTGAGTTAGTGTGTGTGTGTGTGTGTGTGTGTGTGTGTGTGTGTGTGTGTGTGTGTGTGTGTGTGTGGGAAACAAATAGTCTTAACATATACAGAGAGAGATCATTTTAAATAAACTATGCAAGTCAGTTAGAAGTCGATAACATTTTCATACTGTGCCTCTATCTGTTAGCCTGTGTAGA